TCTTTCCCTTCTGCAAAGCTAGTTTAGAAAGCTAAACTGTGCCCAGGGAAACTTCAGATTTTAACTTTTTTAAGAAATGAGAATATTTAATATCATTGAATTACTACCTACCAACTGCACTATATAATTTCAGGGAATGAAAGTGTTGGAAGGGATTTTTTTTCACATAAATCATTATAAATCTGAAGACACTATGTTTTCTCTCAGCACTAAAGTCCTAGGATTCGATGATCCCAATGTTCTTTACATATTTCCCTATCACTTAAGTATTAATATACAGAGATGTAGCTTCTCCATAGAACTGTCATCACATCACCATGTCACGGGTGTGAGAGGCCTCGGGAGCATGCAGTCGGCAGTGCGTGACCTTGGCCCCCAGGGAAGAAAGCCTTTTGGTCTTAGAAAGAAAGGGAGAACAGCGATGAGGAGAGCCTGGGCCTCCTGGTAAATTGATACTCCTCCTGCAGCATCCCCGGCTGTTCACTGTGAGCCAAAACAGGCTTGGTGCAATAACCTTGATGGGCTGGGCTTAACCAGAAGTCTTGGCCTCAGGCTTTACTCAGGCCTTTAAAACGCAAATAGCCCTCCCGTCCCATAGACCACTCTGAACTGCTTTTCTTTCTTGGGACTAAAGAAAACCTTAGAGGCATGTCTTTCAGACAGCACAGTTAGACGGTGACTATGACCAAAGTCTTTCAGACAGCACAGGTAGACAGCGACCATAGCAAATTGGAGACAGGGAGGGCTTTTCTTTGTGAAGGAACAGGAGCATGTCCAGATAGTTTCAATTGGTAAGCACTTTAAATATCTAATATAGAGTCTTTTTAAAAGAAAATTTATTTATTATTTTAAAAACTTCTGCTGGGGCCAGCAGGTGGCATGATGGTTAAAGGCGCTGGACACCCACATGGCTGACCATGGTTCGAGTCCCGATCCTGATGGCTTGCTCACGTTCCCTCTCTCTCTCTCTGTTTCTCTCTAATCAAACTGGGATACAATAATAATAAATATGTTTAAATAATCCTTTTAAAAATGAAATTTCTGCTTAAAAAGAAAATGTTGCAATTTCTTTAAGGAACTGGGATTAAAAAGTTTAGCAAAAAGCAAAAATAAAGGTAAAGACTTTCAGGAAACACAACTGGCACACATACAAAATGCAGTCTGTAAGGAAGATGTGGATATATATCCATCCACATGTGGTGACTGTTATCTCCGTGTTAAAAAGTGTCATCAACGGGGCAGCAGGTGGCTTAGTGGTGAAGGAGCCGAACACCCACATGGCTGGCTATGGTTCAAGTCCCGGCCCCAGTGACTTGAAAATTACTCTGGGCATGTGTGTGCATGCACATGTCAAAAATCCTGAGAGGAGAAGGGATCTAGGGTAGCCATCTCCTCTCGAGAGTGAGTTTTTAGTTTCGCTGTATCTGTCTCTCTCCAGTGAATGCACGCACCCTGCAGAAAACAAACAAACAAACAAAAAAAACTAAAAAAGGAAAAAACAGTGTCATCAAAATAAATGTCTGTGTCCAAATAAATCAACTTGCTTTCTTCAGTCTGGCTTCTCCTAATATTTCTGCTCAAATTTACGTTCTTTAAAATGTGATCCACATCTTTGTGTTGACTATGAAATACTTACTTCCCAATAACATACATTTCATACTAGATTTATTGATCCCTAGCTACTTCATACACACATGTAAGTTAACTTAGCCCTTCAGATAATGAAATATGACCTGGAGCTGTGATCTAAGCAACAGGTGTTCCAATAAAGCTATTATGGGTAAACTCCTATACGAGGTTCTGAAAATTAATGGTCCTGGTAATAAAAATGGACATACTTTTTTTTTTAAGTTTTATTTTTATTTCTTTATTTTTTTGGAGAGGTTTTTGCTATAGGGTGCGTGCGCTCGCCAGAGAGACATAGAGACAGAAAGCGAGAAATCACCCCCCAGGGGGGATGGTCACGCCGCAATCCCTTCTCCATTCTCCTCTCGGGATCTTGGGCACATACACACATGCACCCGGCATGAGTTTTAAGCCACCAGGTCTGGGACACGAACCGCGGTCGACTACGTGGGAGTCCAGCAACATAGCCATTACGCTAACTGCTGGTCCCAAAATGGAGATACTTTTAAAAGAATTATTTACTTAATTTTATTTCTTTTTCTTGTTTTAAAAGTTGCTGTGGGGCATGTGCACTCAGCAGAGAGAGGCAGGGAGTGAGAGGGGAAGTGAGAGAGTAAGCCGTCAGGTCTGGGACTTGAACTGCAGCTGGTCACATTGGAGTCTAGTGCCTGACCACTATGCCACCTGCCCATCCCAGTACTGCATACCATTAAAATCCTCTGCAGATCACAATACGAGGAGGAAGTTACACGGTCGTCTGTGGCATAGCTACATTTTGGGCAGTGGCAGACCCCGTGCAGGACAGCAGTCTCAGAAGATGAGAGTGTGGCCGACACGTTGCCGTCACCTAGTGAGCTAGCCACCGTGGCGGCACGGTGCAAGGCATTGCCCATGTGTCTGTGGTGGTGTGGGTGAAAATGAACTCACTGCACTGCCAGCAGGACAGTACAGCACCTACAGATGTGGATAGTCCACACCGCTGGAGAAGAAAACACGGTCACTGGTGTATGTATTTACGATAGCATACACGGAATTATTTTTGACTGTATTCCTTTCACTCATAGAAAAAAATATTTATTTACTTATTTTTAGAGTGCTTTTTTGCTCTAAGGTGTGTGCACTCATCAGAGAAACAGAGACAGAGAAACAGAGAGTGAGAAATCACTCCCCGGGAGGATGGCCATACTGCGATCCCTTCTCCTCCATTCTGCTCTCAGGGTTTTAGGCATGCATGCATATACACCTGGTGTGAGTTTGAAACCTCTTTCCAGGGCTCGAACTGCAGCTGACCATGTGGGAGTCCAGTGATGTAATTGCTGTGCCGTCTGGTGGTCCCAGAACAAAATACTTAAAATAGCATGCCACGTTATGCTCACAGCAAGCGCACACACCTCGTTGACTGTATCATTTCTCTTTTGCTTTATTTAATCTCCTGTAGTTTTGTTCATCATGACCTTTCTGATGGGGCAGGAGGTGGACGTGACATTGGGGAATCTGATCCTGCATAGGCCCAGACAAATATGTGTATTTGTGTCTTAGTTTTTTAAAAAAATCTTTCAAAAGAAAAAAAAATAAAAATAAAAAAATATATAGAATAAGAATATAAAAAAGAAAATATTGTTGTGCAGCTGTGTTATTTGCATTTTAAGCTAGGCATTATTTAAAGAAAAGTTCAACATTCTTAAAAGATTCAAAAGTTCATAGAGTAAAAATGTTGCATTAAGCTAAGGACAGTTAACTGTTGAAGAGAGAAAAATATTTTTATAAACCCGGTGTAGCTTGAGTGCGCAGAGTTTATAAAGTCTGCAGAGTGTACAGGGATGGCCCAGCCTTTGCCTTACTCACCACTCACTCGCTCAGAGAAGCTTCTAGTTCTATGAGCTCTATTTAAGGTACGTGCCCTATGGGTGTACCATTTCTTTGTCTTTTATACTGTATTTTTACTGTACCTCCTTGTTTACATTTAGATAAACCAATTAAAAAGCAATTATTTTGGTTGTCAGAGGGTGTGTGTATTCCGCAAAGAGAGAGAGAGATAGAGAATGAGAGAAAGGGAGAAAACATCTCACAAGTGAGGCATGGTCCAATCACTGTCATTTTCTACTTCCCTCTCCGGGTGGGACTTCGGGCATGCATGCACATGCACCCATCTTCTCTCAAGCTGCTGGAGCCCAGTGCTTTAACTGTGGTTGACCATGTGGGATCCAGCTTCCTTAACCACTAGGCAGAATACCCCCCACCAATTTGTTGTTTATATTTTAGTTTTGAGAGAGATTTTTGCTGTAGGGCGTGTGCACTTGCCAGAGAGACACAGAGAGACAGAGGACAGAAAGAAAACAAATCACCCCC